GCTCTACTACCCCAAAGCCACGTATGGGTTCAGTCCTCGACTGCGTCCCCACCCGGTGGCCAGCAACTTCTCCATCGCCCTGACCACGCCCCCGTGTTTTCAGGTCATCATGGCGCGGTCGGCCCTGTACCGGATCTCACTGAACAAATATGCCACCGACACGGAGAAGAGGTCGCTCGAGATGGCCGTGATCCGACACAAGGGCGAGGCTCTGAAAATGGTCCGACAGCTGAGTGTCAGGGCGAGCCCCAACCGCAAGGACGACCTGTTGGCGTCCATCATCAGTCTAGGCACGTTTGATCGCCGGTCAGGCTCTCAGGAAGCGGCGGGGATGCACTACCAGGCGGTCAGAAAGATCTTGAAGACCACTGGGGGGCCTCTCGCGGTCAACTCGGTGCTCTTGTCGCGCGTCATGTGTTTCTTTGAATGCATCTACGGGACGAGCCCAGAAAGCTACATTTGGGATGTTTCGGATCTCAAGAGGCTGGTGCACAACTTGAACGTCTTCCTGGAGAAGCTGCGAGAGTTTGGGCAGTCGCTGTCAAGCACCAGCGTCTTGGCCGCTAAGGGGCCTCGAGAAGCTGACATCGAGGTCGTAGGGAGACGGAAACACCCCTTCGAACTCCAGGAGGGGTCGACGTTGCTTGGGTTGGTGTCCCGACAGCCTCCGCCGGACGCCGAACTCACACAACCGCGACGACTCGAGTTGATCTTCCAACTCACATGCCTGCTGACGCTGGCCATGATCACCATGGACCTGGCCAGCGATTTCAAGGCGTTACAGACTTACATGGACCATCTGCACCAATCCATCGAAGACCTGCGGCTGGCGGGGCAGAGTTGCAACAACGCCATGTGGCAGATCCAGGTCAGCGACCACAGCGAAGTCCACAGCCGGCGGATCTGGCGGGCGGCGAGTTTCGCATGGGTCATGAAGCACTGTTCGTACAACGTGCAGCTGTCACTGAAAGAATGGCTGCTGGCATTCTTTACGGGCAAGGGCGTCGAGAAACCGTACCACTTGGACTCATTCCATTTCAGCTACGCGACCTGAGTTGATGGGTGGGTTTAGGTTCACGGCCCTGGCCAGACTCGCCGCATGCTCCTCCGTCCTCGGGTAGTGGGACGGACGGACGCGATACTGTCACGACTTGTGCACGAGTATCCCGTACTCGGTACCGAGCGAGTATGTAAACACACGACTCAACACGTGGGAAACTTGTCTGTTTCAGAGGCCAGGCTTCAAGGGGGGGAAACACGTCAGATTAGCTATCGATAATCCCGAGATACGCCAATCGCTAATCGCGGGAAAGTAATCGATAAACTGCTGCGGGTATTTTGTCAACCCGTTCGGTGTTACTCTGGTGGCCCCTGTATTGGGAGGAGCGTTACGGACACGGTGGGTAGAGAAGAGGAGACAGAGACGAGATGGTGACGGTAACACTACTTTTACTGCTTGTAACACCATAGCTGGCCGGTTGGTGTCACCAGTGTGTGTTGGTGCAGGCGAGCTACGAGTACAAGTATGTAGGGGCTCTGGTATGTATCTGGCTTAGGGGGGCGTGAGGGGTTCATGGTGATACCCATAGCGCTCACTAGGGGTGTCAATACACAGCGATCCGCAATTCCCCATATTGCCTACATGTGCGAGATACTCGGTGATCAGGAAACACGTCCCCTACTTGGTACGCGTTTCTACATCTGGAGGCGTCGCCAATCATGCCGGGTATTAGGGAGGGGTTGATTGCTTGGTCTCCAAGTACCTTTAACTAAGTGACCACCTACGTAGGTATGGTGGCAGGCGTGGCAAGGTAATTTGGGTAGTGTGGGCGGCGAGCGGCGGGTACCTGACGATCGCGCTGAGGCCTAGGCCATACTTGAACTTATGTACCTACCTACGGGTAAGGCTAGGTGGAGAGGTACCTAAATAAAGGACCTCGTACCTAACAAGTACAGTACTACGTACGCAGGCATGTTCGGTACTCGCATAGTCAGTCACCTTGGGAGGGACCTAAGTGACCCAAGAGACCTCGTCGAGACTCGTACTTGAATGAATGTCATGCTGACTGACATCTGCCACCCTCTCCCTCCTGGGTGCCTCCTCGCATCGCATCAGATCATCATCGTCAGGTCTCCAAGGCTAGCCGGCTAGGCGTGCCAGGCACCCGGAATCAGGATCGTCTCCCATTCCTGTCCCCTTCTATCCCCTTGCAATTTCAGCATGACGCCTTGACGCTCTAAAGCTTCCCACCAACCACCATCCTACTTTACAGTTCCATGCGCTCCGCTCTATCCATTCCATCGTCTCCACCATCCACCCTCCCTTCGCTCGTGATCCTCCCTGCGCTACTTGGTACATTATTCCTGCCACTCCACCCTCACCACCACACCACACACCACCTTCATTCCCGAACATGTCTTGTTAAACCACCACCACCTAATACCTACACCCCTCCCCCCAGGCACAGACCTCATCAATGTGCATCCTGGGGCCCTTCCCTCTTCCTCATTCCTGCTGACACTATGATCACCGCGATGAAATGCATCATATCTTACACTTTGTGCTATTGAGCTCGCATTCACCCATGGTCACTCCTTAAAGAATCAACGCACTCACCCTTACGGTTGTCACTCGTTCACTCAACCAAACAAAGTCACTCGTTACCTACTCGCACTCAGTCTTTGATTTGTCCTAGTTCTTATTTCCAGTCATATCATCACCATTATCATTGGATCCAGCTATATCTCTCGCAAAAAAGGAAAAAGAAGATAGAAAATATGTCAGCCAGAGGTACGTACACGCTTTCGCCAAAGGTACAACGCAGGAGGGAGCATAAGTATACTCACAATCCCTGTTTCACAGACGGTGTTTCGACCATCCATGGCGTCCCTACAAAATACGTCTCTCTCCTCACACTTGTTGTCCAAAACTCCTCCCTCGTCCTGGTTATGCGATATTCCCGAATCCTGCCCGGTCCGAGATACCTGAGCTCAACCGCCGTGGTGCTCTCCGAAGTTCTGAAATGTATAATATGCTTGTGCGTCCATGTCAGCGACCAGCGACACCAACACCGGTCCTCACAGCTTCCTACCCTCTCCGACGACGCCCCTTCACACTTGAACCCCACCAGCTACGGTCTCAAGCAATTGTGGACGGATATCTTTAGTGTTAAAAGCGGCTTTTTCAAGCTTCTTGTCCCAGCCATTCTATACACCCTGCAGAACAACCTCCAGTTTGTTGCTGCAACCAACTTGGATGCCGCCACCTTCCAAGTCACCTATCAATGCAAGATCCTGACCACAGCCCTGTTTGCGGTGTTGATGCTGGGCCAGAGCCTGTCAGCTCAAAAGTGGTTATCCCTTGTCATCCTCACGGCCGGAGTAGCCTGTGTGCAAATACCTTCGTCGACAGCCGCGGTCAACACACAGCAAGGCAATTATGTGGTTGGGATTATTGCTGTGGCCATTGCCTGCATTTGTTCGGGATTCGCGGGTGTCTACTTCGAAAAGGTCCTGAAGAACGGCCAGACCTCGTCCATCTGGGTTCGCAACATCCAGCTGAGCGTCGGCTGTCTGGCCATTGCTCTGACCGGGGCACTGGTCTGGGATGGTCAGGCAATCCGGGAGAAGGGCTTTTTCCAGGGTTACAACTCTGTGGTTTTTGCGACTGTCTGCATCCAGGCGGCGGGCGGCCTCATTGTGGCCATGGTCATCAAGTACGCCGACAACATCCTCAAGGGTTTCGCCACCTCCCTCTCCATCATCCTCTCCACCGTTGCCTCGATCTTCATCTTCAACTTTGTTCCCACGATTTATTTTCTGTTTGGTTCCATATTGGTGTTCTTGGCCACCTATTTGTACAGCGTCCCCGAAGCGCCTAGAGCCATTGAGAGTACCGCTGCAGACCCATCCGAAAAGAATCCGATTCTCGTGGTGGAAGATTACGACGTGGAAGACGGATCGAGTTCGAGGACCATGCAGAGGCCATTTCGAGATGACAGCGATCCTGAGTCGAGCGACGAAGCCAGTCAAGACAGCATCAGCATCTATGAGCCGGACGATGGCAACTATTCTCGAAATTTTTCGCCGTCGTTGATTTCGGCTTCCACAATGGAAAAGCAAATGCTCCCAGAGTTGGGTCATGTGGCGTGATGGGTGACGCAGAGTCTGGAATTTTTGTACCATTTATGTGTTTTGAGTATGAAGGACTGGCAGTTGGTTGTCTTGCAAGCTTCACAGCGGGTTTATTTGAGAGGGATATGCTAGCTGCCATAGGGACGAGACACCCTCGCACCACAATCTGTTTTTTTTTGGAAATGCGACATGACTTTTGGATACCAGTTACCCGGTGGAGTAGAGAATGGCGTTTGGTTTTAGAGAACTAGAAATGGATATGAATGGTGCATGTCGATGCCCAGAGGAGGTGCACAGGATCAGTCTTATCGAAACCATGACATCCCTATATCCCTTGCAAAGTCGCCAGATATCAAAGCATTCAAACCTTCAAAAGTCTGTCTGCTTGTGTATGTGAGTGAATGAGTCTATTCCTGTAATGCTCGTCCGCACCGATCTATGTTGGTCGGTGGGTTATTTATTTATTCCCAGTGGCGGATGGGATATACTCGGCATGATTTACATGGCACTAGGTGGTCTCGTGGCCTCGTAGCCTCGTAGCATTGCACCCTTGCACCCTTGTTGCCTTGGTAGATGGGTGGGTAGATACATAGGTACATGATATAGAAGCACAGAAGCGCAGAAGCACAGAAGCACAGAAGCATAGAAGATGGTCAATACATATATGTATATATGTATTTACGTACAAGTAAAGTACATAGTTGGCCTTAATAGGGTGCCAGACATCAGACATCAGATACCAGATACCAGGATACTCGCGATTCTGTCCATCTGTCCATCTGTCCACTGTTGGCCTATCCAACTATTCGTCTACATAACTATCAATCTATCCATCTATCAATCCACCTTTCTGGATATATAGATGTCTAACCCGCCACCCAGGTCCCATTCCCAAACCACACGGCCGGCGGGGAGAAATCGCCGTACCACTCTCCCACGCCGCCGACCGCGTGTCTCTTGACGTATGCGAACCTGAAAAACTCCGGGTCGCCTGGCACCACGCTGCGCCGCGTCCAGTGGAAGGTCATGTCCTCCGCGTCGGCCCAAAAGGCTTGGAAGCGCAGGACGTCGTTGACGAGGACGGCGATGCCGTCGAAAGAAGACGAGGACGACGTCACTTGGTCAAAACTCAACGTGATGTTCTGCCCAACGATGAGCGGCGCGGTACGGAGCAAAGGGACCACGCTGCCCACGGCGGCGCCGTCTTGCAGGAGCTGGCCCGGCGTCTGCAAGATGCTGTCGAACCCCCACCGCGCGACGCCGTTGAGGAACAGCCCGACCAGGATGCCCTGGTATAGCAGGCTCGGGCGGGTCTGGAGCGACGTCCCCGGGAGCAGGATCAGCGCCAGGATGTAGTGATGGATGCGGACGTTCATGCCGGGGATCAAAACCAGAGCCACCAAAACCGCGCCCACGACGCCGTAGAACGACAAGTACCGCGGCATTCGACCTTCACTCCGAAAACACCAGGCCTGGCCGACGGCGATGATCAGGAGGATCCCAATAATCAGACACAGCGCCAGGATAGCGCCAGGCTGTTGCTTCAGGTCGTGCGGGGTCAATCGCGATATCGGGATGCGGTCAAAGGTGACGTTGTTCAATGCGCCGACCCAACAACCCCCAAGCCAGAGGACGGTCTTCTCGATCGGGGCCCTGAGATCGGACAACGTTCGACGGACGCAATACCGATAAATGACGTGGCCGACGAATGCGGCTGGCAGGAACCGTCGGAACGCCATCGACACCACGTCCGCGTAGTCTTGGTAGAAGGGGGGATCCGATATCAGGGCCACGTGGAAGAAGACACCCACAAAGATCGACCAGAAAAACGCCGCCGCAGAGGTCACAAAGACGGAAAAGACCGAGGTGACCAGGATCGACGTGCCCAGGAACATCCAGCGAGAGTCTCTGCACGCACCACTCGCCGAGTTGGACGAGTTGATGGAGAAGGATAGCGGGAAGTTGGATGGGAATCCGATACTGCTGATACCATGGGCATCGACGCTTGGGAAGTTGGACCGTTCTCCAGCACGCAGAAGCACTCCACAGCCGCCCCGGGAGTTGGTGGTGATGCCGGCATGGATTGCCGCGGCACATATGAATGAATCACCGCGGTAGATGGCAGAGGCCGGGTCGTCGAGAGATTGCTGCCCTCCGACGACAAGGCTACGATAATTGACTTGCTGAGATCCAATATAATGAGGCTCGAGTAAAATGACATCTTTACACCCAGCCGGGCAAACGAACGGAAAGTGATTGTCCTCGAAAGGGCGACACTCCTCGCCGTCCAATCCACAAAGCGTGCTATTAAGCCTGTACTGGTCAGTGATGATGACCGCTCATGGCGACCGGACACATACCACAATCGAGCTGTACAGTCTAGCCTGGTTGGCTGGCCATCGACAGAATCAGTGCTCGATACCACCGCCCTTCGAAGTGCCAAAAGGAACAGCCCACTCCACAGAACATAGACCGTAACCAGAGCAAACACCTTGAGCCATTTAGTTGGCAAGAGCCTGTCAAGGAGGTGGTCGCACGCATCTTGGAGCCATTCCGAAGAGTAAATCCGAAAGACTCGAGGCGGTTGTGGACCTTTGATCCAGCTCAGCACCGCTCGTAAAATAGACTCTGACTTATAGAACCGGTCATGGCGAGTCCAACGGAAACGCTGATCACCATCTGGCCGCTCCGACAGCTCCTGAGGAGCGAGAAGAATGCTTGCTTCTTCGTGGTCATAGTCTTCCAGTCCAGCAGGACCGAGAAAATTCTCGCGCCCGGAATCGTCCCTTGCAGATTCGACGCTGTTGAGGTTGTGCAAAGAATAGCCCTGATCACCGTTCCCGGATGAGGAAGACGTGGCAGAAGGCTCCATAGAGCGCGATAATGCACCGTCCGACATTGTATGTACTGCCTTTCAGTATCCCGCCGTCCTTCCCAAGGACTCAGCCAGACGTATATTTCTTGACCTGGGCGAAAATGTCCAAGGTCAAATAAACGATAAACGATTGCAGTTCCAACAGAGGTAATAGATGGCCAAAACAGGTCTACCCAAGCTCGCCACCAGCAACATCGTGGATGGCTCCAAGTCCTTGGAAAGATCTAGGGGTATCTCATAACAATTGCTGCATGTTGCTGTTACTGTTGCTGTTAGCCCCTTCAAGTCGATTGAGCAGCAAAGTCCAAGGCTGGAAGACGCAGCCAGCAACACAGCCACAGCCTCGTCACATTCCAGCCAATACGGAAGGTCTACCGAGTACGCGTATATCTGTGGAGCCTCGTTACCGATACGCGTATCAATATATACGAGGCTTTTTACGAGGTCTCCCCCGTCTGGATCCTCACGCATATCAAACCAAGTCTCTCCGTTTTCCTCACAGCCACCCCCTCTATATCCTTCCAGCTAGACTCGATACGTCGACTTACCCGACGCATTCAATCCGCTACCTTGTCATGGTTCCACCATCACAATGAATAGAGACGCATTATCCGCCGGCCAGGCAGGCAGCAGGCAAAGCAAAGAATTGGACAGGACAACATGAGATGGGTACTGGGTATATGTGTATAAATTTGAAGAAGTTTGAACCTTGCACTCCTCGTCTCCTCTACCCTCATGCTTTAGCCATAAAAAAAAAAGAGAATTACCTTCTGCGTTGTTCATTGCATCTGCATTTCTGCTGTGTTGACTCTCATCCCCTTCTCTTATTACCCGCGAGAAGACTCTCGTCTGAACACCTTCAACCGACAACAATGGCCAACGACAACTCGGACTTTAAACTCTACCACTACGACCCCTCCCTCGCCGCAGCCGTCATCTTCGTCACCTTGTTCGCAGTCGCGTCTTTCCTGCACACGTATCAGCTCATCCGCACGCGGACCTGGTTCTTCATCCCCTTCTGCGTCGGCGGGTACTTTGAGGCCATCGGATATGTTGGACGGGCGATCGGGGCTCAAGAGACCCCGAACTGGAGCGTGGGCGGCTACGTGCTGCAGACGGTCCTGATCCTCGTCGCTCCGGCGCTCTTCGCGGCCACCATCTACATGGAGCTCGGACGGATCATCCTGCTGACGGACGGGAGGAAGTACTCGCTCATGAACCCGCGGTGGCTGACAAAGACCTTCGTCGCGGGCGATGTCCTCTCTTTCTTGATGCAAGCCTCTGGTGAGAGATCCTCTACCCCCCCTTAGATAGCGCACGCTCTTCTGCACGAAAGACTGATACTAACCATCACACCCTGCAGGTGGAGGGATCATGTCCAGCGGGACCGCGTCGTCCATGGACACGGGCAAGAACATCATCATCGGCGGCCTGGTCGTGCAGGTCATCTTCTTCTCCTTCTTCGTCGTCGTGGGCCTGATGTTCCACGTGCGGATGCACCGCGCGCCGACGTCCAAGGTCCTCGCCGACGTCGACATCGCCACCGCTTGGAAACGACACATCTACACCCTCTACGCCGGCAGCCTGCTCATCCTGATTCGGTCCCTCTTCCGCCTCATCGAGTACGGCCAGGGCAACGACGGCTACCTGATCTCGCACGAGGTGTTCCTCTACGTCTTCGACGCCGTGCTGATGCTCACCACGATGCTTCTCTTCGCCGTGTTCCATGGGAGCGAGCTCAACGCACTGTTGAAGCCCGGGAGTGGCAGGGCCGTCAGGAGGGTCCTGTCCATCTACAACCTCAAAGGTAACAACAGACAGAGCGTCCTCCTGAGATCTTGATGGAAGAAAGAAAGAAAGGCAACTATCGCCAATGTTTTGTTTTTGATGTGTTTGCAAAAAAAAAAACAATACCAAGAGATGGATATTTTGGCAACGGTGGTACTGGCACTGGACACACACACATACACACGGACGGACGGACGGACGGACAGACAGACAATGGGGCGTTTTCCCTCCAGAAAGAAGATACTAATTTTCTAGGGCTCGTTTTGTCGACGATATATTATCCCCGCAGGTCAGATTCGCAAGTTTTTTTTGTTGGGTTTTTCATTGGAGGGAGAGATAGAGATAGAGATTGGATTATTGTTTTTACTGTCCTTGCCGGCGCTTGAAGAGCTGATGGGCGGTTATTATTCGAGAATGATACAGCAGCACACCACATAATAATACCACACAACGCATGTTCTCAAGCCGCCCGCAAGAGAGTCGCACCTCTGACTGGAAGCAAAACAGCGGGATAACGGACGCATCTCCCACGTCGTGTACGTGGTCAAGTATTACATATGGCTAGAACCAACGTACAACGTAATCGAGAAAAAAATGGCTATCGCTTACAATGACAAGGGGAAAAAAAGCCCGGTTGCCTCTGCATCTTTTTTTTTCGCCTTTTTCTGAAAAAATCCTCAAGTTCTCTCTATATATCGCCTCGTAAAAAGCCCTCGTTGACCGAGTACTGATGTGATGTGATGATGTATCGTGGTATCTTCTATTTGAAAACATAAGGTTGGTTGTGGTACAAACAAACATGGCATTCCCCCCAACCCTTTCAATTGAGAAGTGCCAAACTTTGGTGGCAGAGGACACCATGTATGTATGTAATGTCCATTGTTGAGGTCGAACCATGGGGCCGGCGTGCCTGGGGGGACACAGGTCTCGCGGAGCCATCCATGGCTTTTGGCTGCTGCTGCCGCCCCAATTTCCCAGATTTGCTGAAAATAAGTCAAAGTCTTGCCTTGAGCTGACTCCAATTGTCCCTCCAGTATCCAATATTTGGTACAAACGCTTCTGAATTGCATCAAAGGAAAGTCAAGTTGAGAAGGAAAAGCACCGGGACATTAAAAGTTCTCTTTGCCCCAGACGAAGCTGAAACCCTTGTCGCCTTCACTATACATGTTACACAGTATGTGTAACTGCGAGCCCAGACCTTTAGGACCACAGAAGAATACACCCGCCTCGCCAGGAGAATGCAATTTTCGGATGGCCCGGAAAACCATGTCCCAGTTCGGACGGCCAAAGTTCGTCGGCGTGCGTAACCCCGTAATGGCGTCTGTGTCACTGCTGTTGAGCATGATGTTGTTGGCGTCTGCGGCAGAGATCTTGGCGGTGAGATACTAAAGACGAAACCAGTTAGCAAAATGTGGCTGAGAGAACATGTCTCAGGAGAAAAGGGAGAACATACAGCGTGGATCTCGATGGCGTGTTGTTTATCTTGAGCTTCGATGGCGGTGAGCAAACTCTTGAACCACTCCAGTGACCCAAAGTCGCGGCAAATCCAGAAGAAGTAGACTTTCTTCAACCGTGTCTGATTGTCGCGACCTTGGCTCATGCGGTACCAGATAGACTTGAGGATGCTGGCAAATGGCGTCACTCCGATACCCGCGCCGACCAGCACTGCTGTCTCAAACTTGAACACATCCTCCGACGCGGATCCAAACGGGCCATCAACGTAGATTCGCGGAAGAAGCTTCTGCAGCCCCCCAGGAGCCATGGATACAACTTCGGAACGAGGCTTTTTGCGACCATCTCCTTTCCCGTCGCCCCGGCCTTTGCTGTCCTCGCAACCGAGCGCTTTACCGAGAGCTTTGGTGAAGTTGCCCACCATCCGTACGTGCACCGAGATATAGTCTTCTTCTGGTGCAGACGTCAGGGTGAACGGATGGTACTGCCAGATCGAGACCTCAGGGCAGCAGAGGAAGATATATTGGCCCGCCCGTGTCTTCGTCTTCTCCTTGTGCATCTGGATCTCCACAACATTGCTAGGGTGCTGGATAACCTTGGTGACGAAGGTCTTGTGTCGGCCGCGGATCTCGCGAAGAACTCTCTCCAGGAGATACGCGAAACCTCCATACATCCAGTATTCCCAGAACACGCCCGTCCCGAAGCAGAAAGGTGCGGTATCGGACTTGATCATGCAAAAAGCGCCATGCACGGACCAGAAGACGAAGAAGACGATGAAGAGGTGGTGGACGGACCAGAACCGCTCGTAATTGGCGCGACGCGGCTTCTCGATTGACGTAAAGAGCATCGCCATCAAAGCAAAGAGCATAACATAGCCAGACCAACCCGGGCCTGTGACAAAGTTTGCTTTCAGAAAGCCGACGAAGCCCAGGTTCTGCTTCGCCGCGAGCTGAGCAAAGTTATTCCAATGCGCAATGGTGTGCACCCAGGTGAAGAAGACGATCGAGTAGGCTACGAGTTTGTGGAAGGTAAGGTTCTTGTCGAAGGGGACAATGCTGTTCAGGGGCGTTTGACGGAGTAAGGATATCAGCGTCCGGCAGACGGGGAAGAGGATCAAGGCGACGTCGAAGTGCAGGACCAGTGCGGCCGACCTCGCAATGGGATATGTGATGCCAAATGTCGCCCGCGCCCCAGTCAAGTTGTCCTTGAGTTGGTAGTTCATGAAGCCAAAGCCAAAGACCAGTCCGTGTACCAGCACGAACACTCCCACCACTATCCTCCTCGAGCCCTCGTTGACCATCCACCTCTCAAACTTCTCTCTCATGTTCAGGTCCCGAGGCGCCTCGCCGCTCACCTCCCCGGACAGCAGCATCCTCGACAGAGGAGTTGATCTTGTGCGTTCCGTCATCGTCGAAGTGGTCGACGACGTGTTTGACCTGGCCAACGGCTTCTCGATGTAATACATTGGAGCATTATTGTGCGTCGTAGTGTTGGACCGTCCCAGCGGCTTGTCGTAGAAGTAGGAAGGGTAGGGCGGAGGTATCGACGTGTCCATGGCATGCAGATGATAATGTAAGGTCCAAGAACTGCGGTCTAGAACTACCTGATACGATTTTGTTTCCAGGGCTGGTCCACTGCACACTGCAATTCGGTGCCAGATGCTGCGGCAGGGTTCGGACTCGAGACGGTCTTCTCACGACTTTTTCGAAACACAGTCTTGACACAGTATTAGTATGAAGGAAATCACCGGTTCGCTAAGGACTTGGGTATACTTGCCTCGTACA